TTTGGGGGGCTACAAGGATCTGCCCTTGGCTGAGGGCATTGGAAATCCCCGGCAGAGCGGCCGCGGCGACAGCCTACAAAAGTTGGACACTATACGTTGGGGTGCAGAGCCGGGCAGGTTAGAAGAGAAGAGAGGTCTGCGTAATCGGACGCAGACGCAGACACCTATGACACAGCCTTGTACAGTAGAGCTAGATGAAGTGATTAGACTTGCCTCCCTTACTCCAGAACGCAGACGTCAACGACACACAACAATGTCCGCATTCGAGAAACGCACAAGGCCGCCAAGGCAAAAGGATAATGGTGTCATTACAAGGCATACCGCACCGAACTAGACCTCAACTCCAGGCGCCACCGTGCTACTGTGGATGGCCTCTATCCCTCGCGTGCTCGATCCATGCCGTCCGTGCCTCCAGCCGCCTACTGTCCCAGCGCCTCCTTGGCCAGCGCCAGATTGGCGTCCTCGCTCGCTGGCGGCTGGCTGCGGACCTTTTCGGCCTTGTCGGCGTCGAAGCGCCACAGACCGCCCGTCTTGTCGGCGTCGCCCGTCAGCGGCAGGCCGACGTGGGCGCCGAGCGACTCGAGCACGGGGTCCTGTCCTTTGAACTCGGAGAAGTAGCGCCTCTCCCAGATGCGGCCCTCGCTGCGCTCCTTGGCGCGGAGCTCGCGCTGGGCGTTCTCAATCTTGGACTTTTCAAACGACAGCGTGTCCATGTCGCCCTTGGCGACGGCGGCGGCGACCTTGGCCCAGGCGCGGCGGGACTCGAGCGGGTGCTGCTGCTCGACGGGCGCGACGACGAGGCCCGTGGGCTCGACCTTTGTGGCGTCGTGCGAGTCGACGAGCGTCTTGGACGAGTTGGTCTTGGCGGGGCCCGAGTGGATCTCAAACGTCTTGGTCCAGACGCCCGAGATGTTGTAGAGGACCTCCTTCTCGCGGCCCGTGGGGTAGAGCACCGCCGAGATGGTGTTCTTCTTGCCCGAAAGCCAGCCCTTGCCTGAATAGTCAATCTTGGCGGTGAAGCCGGAGGAGGAGGTGATAAAGGTGGAGCCGTCGAGCTCGATAAAGGGCGAGCCGAAGAGGAGGCCCTCAATGTGCAGTGACGGCAGCGTGATGAGGTACGTCTCCGTCTTCTTGTCGGCGTCGCCAGGGATCGGCACCGTCAGGACGGCGTGGCCGATCTGCTTGATGTTGATGGTGCTCTTGAAGGTGGCCTTTTGCGCGTTATAGCCCTCGAGGTGGACGCCCGTGGCGAGGTTGTTGATCGAGTAGGCCGTCGCCGGTGGGTGGTGGCTGTCGAGGTGCATCCGTCAGCAAATCCATCCGCTTGCTGATCCAGGCGAGGCGTCACGGGTCAGGGACACAAACTCACCTGACTTGCTCGCTGATGAGCTCGGTGGTGCCCGCGGCATCCTCCCACTTGCCGAGGAAAAGCTCGCCAAGGAAGGGGTTCAGCGGCTTCTTCTCGTTTCCGTACTGCTCGCTGCGGCTGGCGTACTGCTGCTTCAGGGTGCTGACGAACCACTTGAGGACGAGCAGGGCGCGTTTCGCGGGGTCGGCCTCCTTGGCGGGGGCGGCGAACAGCGAGGGATGTTCACACCAGTAGGAGGAGAACTCTGTGAGGGAGGTCGACGAGACGATGAAAGGGGGCGCCGTCAGGGAGGAAAGGTCGCCGTTAAAGGAAGCAATGGACTGGGAGCTTGTTAACGCGGGTTGGTGCAAGGGAAGCTGCGAGGTCATGCGACATACCTTGACGAAAGAAGTCCAGCTGCTGGAGCCAGCCACGGAGCCCTGTGCGTCTGCCTGGGAGGCCATGTTGATGCGGTCTGGGGGTAGAGAGTGGTTGCCGTCTTGTGGAGGTTGGGTCGATTCACGATGCAGGAGTACACAGCCGTCGTCGTGTGGCACGATATGTACTGTGCGATGCGTGTTTATTTGATGGGGATGGCGAAGATGTCAGCGGGGTTGAACGAGATGCCGCAATTGTTTTTGGTTGCCCCTGGCGAAATGCCTGCGCACTTGAGCACAGGGGGTGGTGGATAGGCTTAGGGGGCGGGGGGCGGAAACGGCGGGGCACTGTGACCACGCTGAAGAGCCAAGAATGAGTTGATCGTTGTGCGGAATTAGGGGTCTCTCAGGATTAGACTTTTGGGTCCTACTGGGTTAGGCAACGAAGCTCGGGGGTGATTCTCAGATGAGGTTGAGACGAGATCAGGATCATGGAGCAGGATCAGGGGAAATAGCGATACGCAAAACAAGATGCTGTTGACGTCAAGAGACACGCATGTAATTACCCCTCGATGATGGCTGCCCACCTCCCAACATTTGGCATCTCGCCGTCTGTCGCCCTGGCGCCGACGTCATGGACCAGGCACCAGAGCTGCACAGCCACTGCCTGTGGCTCACATGGTCTCCCTGTGCCTAGGTATCTAGACATCTACCTAGGTGAGGTGAAGTACCTACCTACCTAAGGTATATCGTAAGCAGGTAAGATACTTCAGAGTTCTCTCAGGCAGAGTCGTGTCGCCTCGACTATCAAGGCCTTGGACATTCTTCATCATTGAGAAACCCCCTGCATCAGGAGCATGCGCATGGATACGCACCTTCCCGTTCGTCGATTTGAACTGTGGCGCCCAAGGCAAAGTACCTGAGCACCAGAGAAATCATGTCAGTCTGACGCGAAGTAGATGCCCCAAGCAGCAAAGACCATCCTTGAGACAGAGACCCCGCAGCGCATTGTCCAAAGCCGCCAGAGACTCCCTTGATACGAATATATATCCGCAAGTCTGCCGCTCCCACAGACAACTGCCGGGCAATCGACAGTTCGCCATCGCCCACATTCGCTGCTGGTGTTCGAGGCGGCAGTTCTGCCAAGTAGTAGCCGACTAATTGAAACATCATCAGCAGCCTCTTGTACGTCGCCAAGATGCTCAGTCGGAGATGATTCGGAAATTCTGGCGATCTAATGCTCTGATGCGACCCTGTTGTTGCTGCTCTTGATGTCGGACAGAATGCCTAGACCAAACCACGCCATTCGCATCTCGTTCGCGATGAGTAGAGCGGGGTTGCCCAAATGGCAACCGCCTTGGATGCCTGCCTACGACACCATCGCCAACGAATCCCCCGTTCTGAGCGATCGCATTGGCTGAATATGTCACGAGAAGCCATCCCCCTGAAGCTAGCAGTCACGTCAAATGTCGGCGGGCTCCTCCAATCCCCGAAACTCCGCCTGAGTTCGGACATAACCAGCACGGCACCTCCTCAAGTCGTCGGCTCTACTGCCCCGGTACGCGGCACACATGCGGGGCAGGGGACCGAAGCCGAGACGATACTCTCGGGTACTTGGATTGGCCAAGTTTAGTTTGTTCGAATGACAGCAGTGTAAGTAGCGTAAGTTCCATCCCTTCTATGCGCCTTCACGGCTCGACATCACGCCACATGCAGGAGTATAAGCTAGGGAGTTGAAATGCATATAGAGTTTCCTTACCCCAGGTTTACTAGTGGTGATATCTCGGCAAGTCGAAATTCTGGGGTTGATTGTCGGTGTTCGGAATCGCTCGGAAGGGCGCACGAGCTCCCAACGACAGACGTCCTTCGGTTCTGCTTTCCGCCTTGCGCTCTTGGAAATTCCGGGCCATTGATCACGACTTGGCCAACATGGCAAGGCGCAGTATAAAGAACATTCAATGTTAATGAGCTTCCATCAGGGTTCTCAGTTACTCATTCCCACCCACGGCACACCCAATCAAATCATCGACAATACTTAGCATCCTTGCTTGAGTTGACTATAAGATAAACCGCAATTACAAACATGTCTTTCCCTCTTCATCCTTCTCTTGTCAACGGCATCACCAAGGGAGACCCCTCTTTCCAGGGCGGTGTCCTGAAGTGCAAGTGTTCAACCTCTCCCGTCACAGTCACTCTCCGCAGCAACGTCGCCCACAACCATGCTTGCGGCTGTTCCAAATGCTGGAAGCCAGAGGGTGCTCTCTTCTCCATCGTCTCCGTCGTGCCCGTTGACAAGCTCGAGGTGACGGCCAATGGCGACAAGCTGGCCGTTGTCGATCCTAGCGCCACTATCCTGCGCCACGCCTGCACCGGCTGCGGCGTTCATCTGTATGGCCGTATCGAGAAGGATCACGCCTTCAAGGGCCTCGACTTTGTCCACACCGAGCTGTCCGACGAGAAGGGCTGGCAGGAGCCCCAGTTTGCCGGTTTTGTGACCTCTATCATCGAGCAGGGCTTCGACGCGAGACACATTGACGACGTGAGGGCCCAGTTTAAATCTCTTGGCCTCGAGTCCTACGATGCTCTGAACCCTCCCCTCATGAATGCCATTGCTGCGTTCACGGCCGCCAATGAAGCCAAGGCCTAGGCTCCGGACGGTACTACCGGCCAGTGTACCATCCCATGGCATTAGAAAATTGTGGATCAAACAAATTGTATGAGCGGCGTAGCGGAAAAGTGTTTACCAAGGCTGACGAGGTTGATGAACGGGGCGAGCGAGGAGTCTGGTGGGTGTTGAATTTGCGAGAAGCTTGTCTCGCGGTTGGGAAATGAGTAGGCAGCTTGGTCAAAAGCAAACCATAAGCCCGAGTCAATTGTCAGCTCATTGTGTTTGCCTTGGATTTGTGTGCAGCTCGTGATGGCCTTGCGGGAACGTAAGCTCGTGTGACGTGCGTACCGGGTGAGATCCGAGTGCCGCACTTGTTCAGCCGTCATTCGAGACAGCCTCATGGTACGGACATGTTGACAGATCACAACCACCATTCAAGCGGTGCGCCATTGATTGCCTGGGATGTCTCAGTCTCAAGGCCCAGCAAACTTCTGCTAGTAATAGGCTGCGTGAAGTGTGGCTCAGTCATCCGGGGAAGGAAGATGCGGAGGTCGCCAAGAAAGAGGGGGCGGAAAACTATCGGAAAGCTGGTCGATTTCCCGCCTCGTGTAACTCAACTGGCTTAAAAGACAACATCCTACAAACCTCTTATACAGACGTCCTTATCATGTCTGCCTGCGTTTCCTCAAGAGACTCAACAATGTCATCAGTCAACGAGCAGAAGGATGCTGCCATCATCGAAACAGCCCGCACACTCAGGGGGACACCATGGTGTGACGAATACGAGAAGATGATCTCTGGCATGCTGTGAGACGAAACCCCGAGTGCAAAAACCAGGCCAACGACTGACCTCTGCGAAAAGATATGATTCTTTGATTCCGCCGTTGACGAATGCTCGTCACGAATGTCGTATTCTGGCGCATGAGTACAACACCATGCCGCCGACCCTCGGAACAGCAGACGAAATAGCCGCCAAGCGGTTCGAGATCCTTAAGCGCTGGCTCGGGTTTGTGGGAGAAGGCGTCTTCATAGAGCCTCCGTTTACGCCAGACTACGGCTGCAACGTGATCATTGGGAAGAACTCGTACATGAACTTTGGCTTCACCGTCTTGGACACGAGTCTGGTCATCATTGGCGAGCGCGTCATGCTCGGTCCCAACGTGCACATCTACAGCGCAGGTCATGACACGAGCGTCTTGTCCCGCGTCAAATGCATCGAGTTTGGCCACCCGGTGCGCATCGAGGACGACTGCTGGATTGGGGGCAATGTCACGATTCTCGCAGGGGTCACGATCGGTCGGGGCTGTACGGTTGGCGCAGGATCGGTTGTGTCACGGAGCCTGCCGCCTTTCTCTGTTGCCCTTGGGTCGCCAGCAAAGGTTATCAAGAGACTCCCGACTCTGGAGGAAGAACTCGCTGATCCGCGGAACATTTATCATCGGTTCCCAGATCGGTCCTGAGGTTGCTCATCGGCCTTTAATTCTTAGAAGACAGTAAGATTTATGCGGAGGCTTTTGTTAGTAGCCTGAGGTGATGCGGGCCCCTCTTCGGAAAGCCCCTCTTCGGAGAGCCCCTCCTTGAAGGTGTAGAATTGGAGCCTAAGTTGCGCTCTATGTCGGGCGACTGCGCTGAATGGATGAAACAGGCCTGCCACTCCAGTATTTTGAATTGAATGAGCATGATGTGTATCCGTTCAAGTAGCTGGTAAGATCGGGAAAGAACCAGAAACTTCGCAGAGTAAGGTAGCCAGCTCATTATTCGCCGTTGTAGGGTACTGGAGACAGAGTTTAAAGTGAGCCACCCCCCGCAGGCACTAGAACTAACACGTGGACTAACGTCGAGGATGGAACTCCTTCAGCATATGACAAACATCCCTTCGATAAGCGTAGCACGATGTCACGATGGGCATCAAGTTAATCACCAATCGTTCGCTTCCGCACCTGACTCAGCCCTGACTTTCATGTTGCAGCTCGCGTAAGAACATGTCTCGCGTTTCAAGAGCTTGCAAACACGGAGGGTTTATCTCTTGGACGTTGTTCCGACGTAATCGGCTTGTAAACCCGGGTGTGCGAGGTTCTGTCGTGGCAGGATAGATGACACCGAAATTGCCCGTCAGCCTATAAGTACCTACCTATCCGCCACTACACTGGCCTTACAGCACATCATTCTTCATCACTCCATACAAATCATTCAATCTTTCTACGAAATTCAAGTGGCAAGATGCAAATCGGAACTCTTGTTATCGCTTCCTTCGTCACGCTGGCAATGGCTGGCATAGGGGAAAGAACATACATTTCCTACGGTGCACTAAAGCGAGACACAATCGCATGCTACGGCCCAGACGAGCCTATTAACCGCTGTTACACTGGACCAGGAAGTTCTGCCAATCCATACACCCGAGGCTGTTCCGTGATCACTCGTTGCGCTAGACTATTCACCGAGAACGACATTGCTTTAGCTGAGGATGATTAGGGTGAGATACAAACTAACTCGAACCTCCGATCCCCAAATTGACGCCCAAGCAGGCCGATCCCTACCCATCCTCGGTTCGAAACGCCCTTTGGATCTTGCCAGTATCACGTCGTCTGACAAACAATGTGATGAGAGTCTCGTTAGGCGCAATCGTGGCGTGACACCCACCAGAACTTCAACTTTGGGATTGAAGATAAGGTCAGAAATTAAGGCAATAGGGTTGGGCCCATTACGTACCGGTCGTGCAAACCGAAAAGCTTGGAAAATGTAGATTCGTTCAATGGCGCATATGTTCTAGACGCTGAGAAAGCTTCATGAGAGCTTATCCCGGTGGCAAGATCACTACCAGTCAGAAACTGCAGGGCAATAAAACCCGTTATTTGAAGACGCGAGGGTCCCATGTTGATTGAGCCACTATTCTTGAAGGCCCATGCTTCGCTTGTTGCTGTTGCGTGTGTATCAACACACTAATCAAACACTTGGAATGGCAAACCTCGCGGGCCGTAAAAGGTATCGAACATGGCAGGTTCACAGGACCATTAATCGCTAAGCATTTTATGCCAGTCGTAGGAAGGCTCATACATTGAAAGATGCCTGCCAGTAAGCTCGTACATTGTGACGAGAGGTACTGGGAGAAGAGGCTTGTTTTATGACTACCGTTAAGACTGTATTTGAACATAAAGATGCCCAGATACGAGAAATGATTTTTTTTCCGCTCTAAATCAATCCACGACATGTTGACCACAAAGCCATTTCAGTTATATAGTCGTGTTCAAGATATCCAGGGGTAGACTCACCGAATCTCCACTTCACCGTGTCTCACCGACCCACCGAGATTAGTCAACATACCTTACCTTACCATGATGTCGTTTGGTCCCAGCAAAGGAAATTTCGAGCGTGGCATCGCGACAGCTTTCTCGTCTGCCTTGCACCTTTCCGAATCCCGATCCCCCTCGCCATGTCCTCGACCTCGGCAGACGCCGCATCCCTCCTCAATATCAATGCACTCTTCGATAATCCTCTCTTCGCCGGCGGCATCGGGCTCGCGTCCATCGGCGCCGTAGCCGCGTTTGGCCGCAAGGGCGTCCTCATCGCCGCGGGTGCCGCGCGCCGCCGCCTCCTCGTCAATGTCGAGATCAGCAAACAAGACCCCGCCTACCCGTGGGTCCTCGCCTGGCTCTCTCAGCCGCGGCCGAACCCGGGCTTTGTCGCGTCGCGCATCACGCGCATCCACAACCTCTCTGTGCAGACGACCACGGCGGGCGCCCGAGGCGGTGCGCTCAGCGGAGGGGGCCCCGGTCCCGCACACTTCTTCCTGCAGCCAGGATACGGACGCCATGTGATCAAGCACAAGCACGCGTACATTGCCGTCAACCGCGAGAAGCACAACACGGCGAACATGAATACGGGAGAGCCGCACGAGGTCGTGCAGCTGACGGCGCTGTGGGCGCACCGACACATCTTTGAAGATGTGTTCGCCGAGGCGCACATGCTGGCGGCAAAGGCGCAGGAAGGCAAGACGATTGTGTACTCGGCGAGGGGCATGGACTGGGCGCCGCTGGGAGAGCCGAGGAAGAAGAGGCCGCTGGCGTCGGTCGTGCTAGACGAGGGCGTCAAGGAAGGCATCGTCGACGACGTCAAGGACTTTATGACGCGACAGCAGTGGTACGTCGACCGGGGCATCCCCTACCGGAGAGGCTATCTCCTGTTTGGTCCGCCTGGCAGTGGCAAAAGCTCGTTCATCCAAGCGCTGGCGGGCGAGCTGGACTTTAGCGTGGCCATGGTCAACCTCAGCGAGATGGGCATGACGGACGACAAGCTGGCTTTTCTCCTGACGAAGCTTCCGAAGCGCAGCATACTGCTGCTGGAGGATGCAGATGCGGCGTTTGTCAACCGGCGACAGCGCGACACGGACGGCTACAACGGTGCGACAGTCACCTTCTCGGGACTGCTCAACGCACTGGATGGCCTGGCAGCGGGAGAGGAGCGAATCGCGTTCCTGACGACGAACCACATCGATCGCTTGGACCCTGCATTGATTCGACCAGGGCGTGTAGACATGATGATGCGAATTGGCGAGGCGTCAAGGCACCAGGCCAGCCAGATGTGGGATCGATTCTACGGCGACATCGACGTTGACGGGTCGGCTCGCGAGAGGTTCCTTGCCAGGCTCGATGAGCTTGGATTGTTTGGCAATGGGCAGGATGACGAAACGAGACACCGGCACACGAGCACGGCAGCCATCCAGGGCCTCTTCCTATTCAACAAGAACGACATGGAGGGGGCCATTGAGATGGCGGAGGGGTTGATCCCCCGGAAGTTTGAGCCCGGTGATGCCGTGCCTGACGGGGCCATCAAGACGCGGGCGTGAATGCTTTGTCGACCAAGTGTGTCGCGCGGCAAACTGTAAGCATATGTATCATCACCAACATAGACTCATGATACCCTTTTCACGGTTCTGGTCCTCACCATGCTCACGGGCCATCATGTGTGATGGTGGTGGCTGCCTGTTCAAACTCATGTGAAGTGGGGTCTGGCGCTACACCCCGGTCTGACTCAATCATCCAATCCAACAACAGCAAGCCGCTACGTACATGTACATCCATCCAGCTGTCAGGTGCGCCTTCTCTCACGAGCTTCGTCTTGCCCCCGGATCGCACCTTCTTCACCATCAAGTAGTGTCATCAGTCGGCAAGTGCGCCTTAGGTACTTCCTTCTCGGCCTCTTGCATCATGTCGCGACAGACAAATATCAGCGACTTTTTCTCAGCCGCATCACAGCGGCCAAGACCACAGCCCGATGACGAGCAGAACAACATGAACTCACCACACTCCGCATCCACCTGGCGCGGTGCACGCGGCGGATTTGCTCGCGGCCAGGATCGTGCTCGAGGACTCGGACGAGGTGGCCGTGGACGAGACCGCAGAGCCCACAATCCGGACAGCACGCGCCGCAATAGAGATCTCGCCGAAGTCGCCAAGGAGACTCGAACCGTCCTCCCCGACATACTGCCTCACCTGCCCCATGTCAATGCTTCGAATTCAGAAGCCCTCCACCTCGCGACCCTGCCTCCACTCAAGTTGCCCGACTGCCCGCGACATCCCCGGGCGACGATCAGAGTCGTCAATGCCGACACATTTAATGCTGCCCTGGCACTTGCCGAAGCACATCCTGATGGCGGTCGCGTCGCCGTCTTGAACCTCGCCTCAGATTATCGAGCGGGCGGCGGCTGGCTCAAAGGTGCGCGAGCGCAAGAAGAGGCCCTCTGTTACCGGTCTTCGCTTTTTCTGTCTCTGCACAAGCGATACTACCCTTTCGATCACGCCCTCATGGGCATCTACTCCCCAGATGTGGTCATTATCCGCGAGGACATGGCCTCTGGGCATGATCTACTCATCCCGGATGACGGTCTTGGCGCGTTGCCTGTCGTGAGCGTCTTGAGCATAGCGGCGCTGCGAAACCCCACGACCAAGAAAGTCCGGCTGCAAACAACCACGGGGGCCGAGGAGCGCATCGAGTTTGCCGATCCCAGAGACCGGGACGTGACCAAGGGCAAGATGCGGCTCTGTCTTCGCATGGCCGCTGCCAAGAGTCACGGACTGCTCGTTCTCGGGGCGCTGGGATGCGGTGCCTTCCACAACCCGCCAGGTGAGGTTGCGAGGTGCTGGAGTGAGGTTCTTGGCGAGAACGAGTTCGCCGGAGGCTGGTGGACGGATGTCGTGTTTGCTGTTCTCGACACCAGGAACGAGGGCAACTACGAAATCTTTGACGACGTCGTTGGCGGTATGGTGGTGTAATTTAGTCGCGAGCCTGACGGCTGCCATCCAGACTCGGAGTCTTTCAAGGCACGTCCTTTTTTCAGAACACCTTCAAGGCGCGTTAGCAATAATTTCAACCAGCATGAGTCTTACGAGGCTTTTGCTTCTCCGCGTACATACAGGTCCCGGCCGGGCCCCCTGCTGGTGCTCAACAGTTTGCTAATGATAGACAGGTCGCAACAGAAACTATGGAGTGGCAACTAGGACGATGCAGGTCGCAACATTCGGCGGTTGTTGACCGTCTCGTGATGAACCAGTCAGCACCCAACCTCATGCAGGGGCCAGAAGCTATGCTGCACTCGTAAACCTTTTCAATAGGGGCAAATTGCCTCCAGACCACACCAGGCGGCGTTGCTTGTTTGTGCATTGTGCAAGTCTCTGAAAAGGAGTACTGATGTTGTCTTGTGTCGCTACGCAAGCTGCTTCAGCTCAGCGCACTCATCGAGACATGCATCATGACAGACCCTCAACTGCCCCACCGGGAACGGCTCACCCCCAGACGGCAACGCGCCTGCCGTGGCTGGACCGGAAGACCAAGCCGGCCGGTTGCGAGGACAGATAAAAGAAGCACCTTGTCTCGGGTGCTATACCCCACAGTGGCCCAGAGCCTCGACCCCGTCCAAAGCCTCTTTGGGTGCTTCCTTTTGTGATGCCGGCAATGGACCGGTAGACTGCTTTTGCCGAATCCCATACGCTGTACCAGGAAATTGGTATTCCAGGCCGAAGCGAATGATGACGCACCTCACATTTGGTGGCTCTCTTTGGTTCATCTGATCGCATACGGGGCTTCCCTTGACTGCCTCGCCTCGCCGACCCCGGGTCCTCTATCGAACGCTTCAGCTTCATGCTCACCTCATAATGGCAGCCATGATGTTGTATTCCGAGACGCGGCAGGCTACTGAGGTTACCAGCGACAACTTCCGATGCCTCTAACACTGCCATGCAGGCAAGATTCGAGGCAAAATTGGGCCTAGAATGGTGCCACTTCGTGAGACAACCACGGCGGAGAAAGAGCGTGAACAAGATTGCAATTTTCTCCAGACCCTCGGAAGACAAGCCATGGCCTAGTCGTGGAGAAGCGGACAATGGCAAACAAATCAGGTTCCAACAATCGAGACGATCAAGGGGTGCCATCACTAGCGCCTCTCAGTTGTACTCACTATTCGGTACCTTGAATCACGGAGCGGCGGGGGATGTTGAGATGAGACACTGACACCGCTACCCGCCTCTGATTGGGACAGGCATCCCTGACCCCACAGCGTTCGATCTTTGCAGCTGGGCGTTACACGAACATGACTCCTGCAAGTCCTGCCAGTTGAAGGAAATACCATTTCCGATTTGCATGGTAGTAGCGTCGTAGGCGCCTCTGACCGTGGCCGAGCTGTCTGGTTCCCATCGACAGACGCCTACTCAACCTCTTTTGTTTCGCCCTTACACGGCGCGGCACATGAGTCTCAATGCAATATGATTTTTCTCCCTGGGTTGACGGCACCCACGGCATAGCTTGGCTTTGAGACCAAAGGGTTGGGGCTGCGGCTTGGTAGCACAAGCATTGCTTTTCCCGGCGAACAGATGGAGACTGACCTGTCATTTCTTCTGCAGACTGCATCCTCAAGCATCCCGACCCGCCAGATGTGGACGCCTCTGTCCTGAATTAGCATACCGCTGGCCGTTGGTTGATGGCCAATGGCCGCAACAACTGCTGGTAGCGCATGGTACTGCACGCTGCTGGGTATTCATAATCCAAAGAGACTGAGCTTCGCGACGATATGGCACGAGCCTCGAAATTCTAGGCCATAATGCTTCATGATGAATCTTCCTACGGCTTCCGAGCTCCCTTGATCACGGCTTGTCAATATGGGATTCAAACAAACACTCCTGCGACATTGCCCCGACGGCGGTGGTTCCCAGACAAACCCCACCGCCGGAGGCAAGTTAAGCAACTCAAAATGAACCTCCCTAGATGCACGAAGTACATTCGCCTCAGTCCTCAGCGGTGCTTTTTTCTCCCTTGGCCTTCGCTCCCGTGAGACAAGACGCTCAAGCGGCATCTCCACGCCAGCATCACGGCGGATCGAGGGAGCTTGCGTCTCGCCCTTCCCTCTGTCACTCCATTCGAGAAGCCGCCGGCAGCATGTCGAGGCCATGGAGATTCTCTATAAATCAAGAGCTCGCAGTCTCCCTCCATCAGTCTTTTGCTCTCTTCTCATCAGCATCACACTCCAGCTTCCAATCATTTACTTCACTCTCTTCTATTCCTAATAATCACTCTTTCAGAACCTCCTCGTTCTCCAACCCCAACCATCAAAATGAAGTTCACCACTGTCGCCATCGCCCTCTTCGTCGGCCTTGCCGCTGCCCTCCCTACCACCGACTCCTACACTCCTGCGCCCTACAGTGGCAACGGTGGACACAACGGAGGCCACAACGGTGGTAACAACGGTGGACACAACGGAGGCCACAACGGCGGTAACAACGGAGGCCACAACGGCGGCAACAACGGCGGCAATGGCAACAACGGCGGCAACAACGGTGGCAACAACGGCAACAATGGAGGTAACAACGGAGGCAACGGCGGCAACAACGGTGGCAACGGAAACAACGGTGGAAACGGAAACAACGGCGGCAATGGTGGTAACAACGGCGGTAACAACGGCGGTAACAACGGCAACAACGGCGGCAACAACGGCGGCAACGGTGGCAACAACGGCGGCAATGGCAACAACGGAGGCAACGGTGGCAACAACGGCGGTAACAACGGCGGAAACGGCGGAAACAACGGTGGCAACAACGGAGGCAACAACGGAGGCAACGGCGGTGGTAAGGACTACGCGCCTTGCCCTTCCGGCCTCAGCATGAGCCCCGTCTGCTGCGCTACCAACGTCCTTGGCCTTCTCGCTCTCAACTGCGAGGCTCGTAAGTCACTCACATGACGCTCACCAGACCATTACTAACCCGCTACTTCCAGCCACCAAGACTCCCACCTCGGCCATGGACTTCCAGAAGACCTGCGCCGACACTGGCAAGGCCGCCAAGTGCTGCACCCTCAACCTCGTAGGTGCCAACTCTCTTCTCTCTCATGATCCGCTCTAACCCACCTATCACAGCTCAACCAGGGTGTCCTCTGCCAGGTCCCCGTTGGCGTCGCCGCCTAAGCGGTACCGGTTCCCCGGATAACACACATAGACAGTCTGTCGGGTTGATGTGGGAGCTGCAAATATCAAGCTGGCTTCTGTGAGCCGGCTCTCCCATCTCGGACTGGCAACATACTACATAGCTGTATCTACTGTAACTGGGTACACACGGCAAGGGTGCGCACCGACGCGGCCCTGAAGGATAAAGGATGGTTTCATAGGGCTCTCGGGCCACAAAGATGGTGCTTACAAGCCCAATTTCTTAATGCTACAACAGTGTTGCTGAACTTTTGAGTCAACCACGTGCTTGCCTTTTTCTTGTTCCCTGATAAGCATGCATGGCATAAGTAACTCATTAATTATAGAAATAAATACGCCGTAGTCCCCATTTCAAGCATTCATCACATAGTCTTGCGTTCGAGATCGTCAGACGAGGCTGGTCTAGCTGTTGTTCCCGGTGGCAACGCCCCAAAAGTACGCACTCCATCCGCCAAGGACAAGCAGCACGAGGGAGCCGAAGCAGATCTTGGAGATCTTCTTGTTCTTGGCGCCCATTTCCTGGTGGAAGCGCTCGTTCCGCTCGTTGAGCTCCTCGCCGCGCGCGATGCGGTGTTTTCTGGTCCACTGCAGGTGCCGAATGTCGACGGACCTCCACGAGAGGAAGATGAGGACGGCGGACACGACGACCGAGAGGCCGGCGAGGACGACGTAGACAATCGTCACCTTGTCGTACGAGTTGTTGTCGTTGTCCTGAATGACACCCGTGACGACTCTGACGATGATGTTCATGCTGGGGGGCACGTGTTAGCAAACAGTGCGTGTACGCGGAGCTGGGGGGCGAGGGGCTACGCACGCGTTGTTCATCGTGACCTTGAGAGCGTAGGCGGTGCCGAAGACCGAGTTGTCCCACATTGTCGTGCGAATGCAGTCAATGATGGTGACGGGGCCAAAGTTCACGGCGACGGCAAAGACACCAAATGAGGCTGCCGTGCCCGAAGTGCCGCTGGCGAAGCAGACGAGCAGCATGGCGGTGAAGGTGCCAACGCCGCAGAAGACGACTACGCGATATGTCAGTAAAGAGGATCCCAGAGGCTAAGAAGAGCGATGGAGACATACGGGAGGACACGCGGTTGCCGTATAGATCCATAACGACGCCCATGATGGGAGCGATGAAGAAACCTGCAGAGAGAGTGAGCATACGAACTCGTTACACATCTGCAGGGTGCATACCGGCATATTGCGTGGTGGCGCTGTACCAGCCGGCCGTGATGGAGCTCGTGTCGAAGCGCTGCTCGGCCAGCTCAGTGGCGTTCTGCAGGAACACATTGGCAGTGCTCGTCTGGAAGAGAGAAAAGGCGAGGATGCACCAGAAGCTCCAGGGAAGCTCGACAACCTTGTGCAGGTCCATCTTCTTCTTCTTCTCGACGAGCGTCTCGCCGGTAGCGGGGTCCCTGACGCCGTGGTACCTGCGGTGCGCGACCCTGGTGAACCAGTAGAAGACGCCCGTCACGACATTGGTGAACAGGTTCATGAACACGGCGACCCAGAAGACCCAGGCAAAATTGCCCGTCTTCTTGGCGATGATGTTGGCTGAAGACTTGCCGGCAAAGGCGCCCAGCTTGCCGACGCCGAGCTCAAAGCCGAGGGTCGAAGCGAAACCGTTGGACGGGGCAAACCAGGAGGAAAAGACCTTGTACTGGGCGACCTGAGTCGCAATGTCACCAAGGGCGCTGATGATGCGGCCGACAATCATGAACTTGTACGAGCGGGTCTGCGCCGCGCCAGCGACAAGGATGGAGCCGACAGTGAAGATGACGTTGCCGTAGAGCATGGCACCTGGACATTGTCAGCGCCTGCATGGTTCATACGGAGTTCCTTTCTTTGAGGCCTTACCAGCACCACCAATGCGGTCCGTGACGAGACCGCTGAGAAGCATGAGGGCTGTGACCATAAAGTCCTCGCTGGCCTCGAGAAGAGAAAACTGCGTGTTGTTGATCTTGAGCTGCTTCTTCATCGTGCTCTTCATGGCGCCCGTGATGCCGGAACTCCACCTCGAGCCAAAACCGATCATGGTGACAAGGACAATGGACGCCAGCTTCCACGACAGGGGCACGGGCTGGAGGTCGTCTGACGCATGGTCAGACGAGGCTGCGTCGACATTGGCGGTGGCTTGTGTCTTCTCGTCATTGCTATCACGCACGCTGGGAGTCTCGACCGACTGCTCGGCGTCCCGGGCGGGCATGGGCGACTGAGGCGAGGCCATGTTGAAAGCGAAGTTGCGCAGGAATCGCTGACGATGTTGCAATTAGTAGGCAGATGCTCGCATGTCCAACCCTCATTCCTCGGACGGCGGACCTTCCACTCTTTATGTTCACACATGGCGCGTCCCACTGAAAGGGTTTTTCCCCAACGAACACGATGAATTGACAATCTCCGGTCAGGAGGAGTTCTGATGCGATTGATTAGATCTGATAACCTTGTCTCGTGGCATCGACTGACTAGCTAGTGCACCGCGCTGACAAGGGCTTCGACAGAACTCGTGTCGACGATTGGGCTGCGAGACGTTCGTTCCCACCAACGAAAGCAACCGAGACTCGGTAGGACGGCGCGCAGCGGAGCCAAGAAAAAATTCTCAGTGGGCGTTTCTGGGGGTATTCCGAAAACACGCGTGACAAACGTGAAGCTAGGCGCTGCAACACGTTAGTGAGCCCACTGGAACGTGGTCAAGCACATAATTAAGCTTCTCTGGGATCAATATCCGCCCGGAAGTATGGCTCGCAGCCAAGCGGGGCTCACGGTAGTTACTGGCTCGGCATCCATTGTGGTGTGTGTTTCTCGTTGGCACACCAAATTCGCCTGGCCGAACTTGTACCGCCAAGGCGAGGGAGATCTACGAAGCTGCTGTGGCCAAGAACCTGTGTGTCCGCACGCACACGCCTGCGCAGGGTCTTGGGAGGACCGCCGAACCAGGTCAGCGGGTCGAGCGTCCATGCGTGGTGGGGGAGCTCGAAAGGCCAGGCTCGTGTAAGGTCCTGCGGGTGGCCATTCAGCTCGATTAGTTCCGGCGAAGCCCGTTCCATGTCGTCCCATTGCCATCCTTCCATGTGTCCTTGCATGCCTGGCTGTAACGTCCGAAGTGGCCGCTGTCTGTCAATTGACGAGCAAGTGGTCAGCCATGACGCATGGCGTTGGCTCACGCGGTTATGCTGACATGAACCTTCTGATTCGGAGTCTGACCATCGTACTCGAGGGAACATCGTTGAGCCTCTTCCCCATCAACTGTAACCCCTCATCCCCTTCCTGGGCATTGGCTGGAGCCGCGAGAAGGCTCTGTGAGGGCTGATCTCGACCAAGACTACAGGGCCTGTGCTGATGTGCGAGTCAGTCGTGAGGCCAGGGAGCGAGAGACCTGTCCCACAGAGTGAAACAGAAGAGGCTGGCTCATTGAACACAGTCTTCAAAAACCAACGACCTGTTCCTTTCCATTCTTGCTCGCTGTCGTATTGTCTCGATCCTTCAGAGAAACATATGCTCAGAATCATGCGACCCCGCGATGCTGCCAAGAATACTGCCCACGGCTCCTGCGTGCCGCCCCGGCAGAACACTCAACCGCCACCTCCGCCCCTCGCTGAGCGCCTCGCCTCACCCCCATGGGGATAAAGAATATGGCCCGTGGTGAAGGGTTCATTATGGATTGATGGCAATGTTGGTTTTGGAGTCATGGAAGGGCCAGTACCATTTCAACCAACCCTCGTCTGCATTTCCATTCCTAGCTTCGACAAGAAATCAGGGATCTTCGCGTCTTCACAGTGTATTCGAGTCTTGAGTCTGCACATCATCGATATACGAATTCGCCATGGGATCTGACAAGAGACTACGCTTTGCCGTCATCGGCGCCGGTCTGATCGGGCCTCGTCATGCTCAGACAGTCATGGAGAACCCCAACACGGAGCTCGTGGCCATCGTCGACCCGCTCGAGAGCAGCGCTACGTTGGCGAGGGACCTGGATACAGCTCACTACCAAAGCGTCACTGATCTGCTGGCCTCGCCCGCCAAGCCAGACGCGGCCATCATCTGCACGCCGAACCACCTGCACGTCCCGCTGGCCAAGGAACTTGCCTCGGCCGGCGTCCACGTCCTCGTCGAGAAGCCCGTCAGCGTAGACATCACCAGCGGCAAGGACCTCGTCCGACACGTCTCCGCCACGGGCGTCCGTGCACTAGTCGGGCACCACCGCCGGTTCAACCCCTACATGGTCGCTGCCAAGACGGTCGTCTCGTCCGGCACGCTAGGGACGATCATGGCCGTCAACGGGCTCTGGGCCCTCCGCAAGCCGGACGAGTACTTCCAGCATCCCGCGGCGTGGCGCCAGACGGGGGCCGGCGGCGTCGTGCTCATCAACATGGTCCACGAAGTCGACCTGCTGCACTTCCTCTTCGGGCCCATCACGAGCGTCCACGCCGAAAAGACGCTCTCGCAGCGCGGGTTCGAGGCCGACGAAGGCGCGGCATTGACACTGCGCTTTCGGTCAGGCGTCGTCGGCAGCTTCGTCCTCGCCGACACAGTCGCATCGCCTTGGAATTTCGAATCCGGGACGGGTGAGAACCCCATGATACCCAAGGCGGGCCAGGACTTTTACCGCATCCTCGGCACCGACGGCAGCCTCAGCGTGCCGGACATGACCGTCTGGTCGTACGGCAGAGCCCCCAAATCGTGGACGTCCGAGCTGGTGCGAGAGACGATGCCTGTGGAGGATGGCACGCCTCTTGAGCGGCAGCTTGAGCACTTTGTCGGAGTCATCCGTGGCCGGGAGGTCCCCAGCTGTACTCTGCAGGCTGGCCTCGGGGCGTTGATGGTCTGCGAAGCGATCCGACGAGCGCTCAAGGACAATTCGACCGTGCAGGTTGAGCAATTTTCTCTGTAGTTGCGGACGTAGGACTTCCTGGTTTGACGCGAGACGGAGCTCCTCGGAAGCGCCGGGCACCGGTGTGCGCATCATGTGTGTCAACCGTCAATCTCGACTCGATAGCGCCGGGACAGGATGTCGCGGTTATAGCGTGTCATCGGCCTTTGTCACTCGGGTGAGATGCAGCAGGGAGCTCACTCAGTTGCCGGGCATTCGTCGTCGGAAAGAGATGCTGCAGATTAGCCGTGGGCCCGAAGCCGTCAGTATCACGGACACGGTGAGCTGCACTGCTTAGGAGAAAGGATTTGGGCATCAAAATGGCATTAATTCAAGGTAGTCGCACCACACGCAGCTGGGGTGAGCCCGCATCGATCCGATCTCGTAAACTCTCACTGCTTGCTCCACTGCTCGCGCACGTCGCCGAACAGCAGGCTGGGCTGCACGTTCGTAAAGTTGGGCACATCGGCCAGAACAGCTTTCGTCTCGGCGGCGGTGCCGATCGACTTGGCGCCGTCGGCCGAGTCAAAGGTGAGAACGGCAGCGACGGAGAAGGCGGATTCAGCTCCGGCAGCGCCGGAGGTGAAGTTGATGATCTGGTAGTTGATCAGGCCGAGGCCCAGCCAGGCCTCGCGGGCAATCTTCATGTGGGTGCTGAGGTAGTAGTCGAGGTCGAACTTGTCACCCTCGCCCTTAAGGGCAGGGTAGAGGACGGTAAGGGTGGAGGAAGGCATGGCGATTGACTGGAGGGAGGCCGAGGTGTGTAAGTATGGTATCTGGATTCGAGTCAGTGCCGCCCGTGTGGTGCTCGACCGGGCATAGGCGTCTACCTGTGAGGCTGTGAAAATCGTGTGAAGAAGATGTGGTTGTCCCAAAAGTCAGTCGTGGGCGTGCGGCCTCTTTAAACGACGACCAGAACCCCTCCTTTCTGTGTGAGGGGATCAACGACTCCAAGCCACGCAGGCCCAATCAGTCATCGCAGTCTGGCTGATGTCATGCACTGCCTGATCCAGGACACGCTTCACAGCGACTCGTAACACTAAAAGAGACGCCCCACCATGTCCACGGTGGAACGGATCCGAAGCATTAGAAATCGGGACAGCTTCGGACAGATTCTATTGTTGCTTAGATGCGCTAAAGCGCCGACGCGCCGACCGAGGCATCAACCGCAAGAGTGGGGAGGTCCCGTACGGCACAATGTTGGGCCGTCTTGAGCCTCGGATACAATTGTGTTGGCTGACGGAGCAACACTACCAAGTCAGATGGAATCGCAATCAAGCCAATGCAACGGGCTTGCATGCCGCATGTTCACCACTGAGTCACGATGCCAAGTCAGCGCGGCAAACATGCGGTCGATAGACGCTTTCAAGAGCGTCCGCGTTGTCGACACAGAAGCAGTTCCTGTTGTGGGTATCGCGGACTGGCCCCATGGAGGCGTCAGCGCCAAACACAGTGGGACATTCATTCATTAGATAGGACCATCTTTCGAAGCTGAATCAGTCGTCACCCGTCGCCATCAATCCAGAATTGATGCGTCTCGCTTGACGATAACGTCGCGTCTACCAGGCCCGACGCCTCGAAACCATAGTAATGCTGCTCAAAAGCATTCGGCGGCGGTTGCTGCTGCTGCTGCTGCTGCTGCCAAATCTCGTCGCCATCGTTAGGAGACAGCAACAGGTCGTCGGTAAAGGGCGAATCGTCATCGCCATCACCGTATTCGACAGGGTCAAGCTGCGAGGCTGACCTGCCCGATTGCGCCGCGTGAAGGACCGCCTGCAGCGGAATCTGTTGCTCCATGAGCTGGCTCCTCGCGTCCAACACGCCGATGCTGTATTTCATAAACTCGGCACTCGTGCTGTTGATGCGCAAAAGCCAGCGGTATTCGGCGAGCTTCGCGAGAAGCGCCTCCCGTTCGGCACCCTCCTTGTCCTGACTCGTCATGCACAGAATGCCCGCAAAGAGCCCAATGATGGCGAGACTGAGGCCCGAAGAAAAGTACCAGAAGCTCTGAAGGTGCTCGGCCTTGAGGCGCTTGACAAAATCTAGGGCCGATGTGAATCGCGTGCTGGCAGCGAGGCGCGTGATGGCATATAGGTCCGGAGCCGGGCTCGCCATGGAGTGGGATCGCAGAATCGCGCGATGCAGGGTTATCTCGGCCGTGTAATACGCCAAATGGAGATAACCTACCGACGAGAGCTTTCGCGGCACAGTGTCACCGACCGAGAGGTCGGTTGGCAGCGCTGTCAACCATGCCTTGAGCCGCAGTTGGAGTGGTTTCGCCGACTCCAAGACTTGCTCGATCGTTTGTCGTCTTCGCGTGGCACGTAACGTGAAGAATTGGTCAAGAATATCAGCAACAATCTCCGTCAGAGACACCATGTGCAGAAAAGTCTGCTTGCCCTTCTCAATCTCGGCGCTGCCTTCTTCGAGATCATCGTCCTTGGACGTCTCGGGGAAATCGGATGCCGTGAGCGGCTGAACGTCCCAGTCGTCAGCCCGCAACAGGGATCCACGGCCATACACCAGTGCCCCCCATTTGTCCTGCATGAAGAGCGCCCAGGCGACACGTTTTCGAACGCCTCGTTCCCAGTCGGGCACCTGCCAGTCGCTGCAATCAAAGTTCATGCCAAGATTCTGGGCCATGGCAATGAGGTGGCCGGCGAGGGCCCACGAGCTCACGTTGGGCGATTGCATGAGGACGAGACCGCCTTGAAGGTCGGAAATCTTGGGCCTCTTGTGGACCTCGAACAGCATCTTCAGGACTTTGCTCTCGAGCACATGAGCATCCGGTTTCGACATGCTGGAGAGCGCAGGGCTATAGGACCACCAGTTCAGCGCCATAATGTAGACGGCTCCCAGTCCTGTCGGCGTCAATTCACGGTAGCTGCGACCGTACTTCTCGAGAAAGACCTTTTTGTGGAGGATGGGGAAGCTCGGGTGGACGATGCGGAAATACAGGTTAACGAGCTCAGGACCGTGAGGCGACACAAAGTCTTCAATCGCATCGAGGTTTGTGAGCTCGGCGTCCATTTCATCCTGCGTGTCGGGCCTCATGACGAAGTGGACATTTTGATTCGCCCGACGGAGAATGTGCTGTGCTTGAAACGACGGGCACTCTCCTTTGGCGTTCCATGACAAGGCGTGTGTCAGAGAAGGGTCAAAGTCCGTTGTTGCGCCGATAATGGCACTAGACTGGCGGTTCTGGTGGCCCAGGGTCTCCTTGAGGAGGGACTGGCCCTTGAGACTCGCATAGTCTTTGACTACGGTGTCGTCTGTGAAGCTTTAGTCTGGGGGTCATCCTCGCGCTCTTCGGTTGCCTCTCGATGACCGTACCCTTGGATCCGGGCCTCAACCGCTGCTTGGGCCGGCTGCCCGTCTGTCCTGCCCGTGGGGTGTCATCGTTGGATGACAGGGGGCGTTTCTTCCGAGGCGCGCTTTGAACGTAGGTACACACAGTCGAACGCGATTCGCACAAGACACAGTTGATCGCTTCAGAGGAGGCAAACAAGCAGCGTATCTTTCTTCGTCGGCAATTGTCGCAGGGGCGCTGATCCCTCGATCTCGACACATCCATCGGGGGAGGGCATTCCAGGGCTGTGAGGCCAGACACCGAGCTGAGAATGATGGGAAAGGCGAATAGGATCAAATACAAAGAGGGCCACGAATCGATGCTGCCGATGGATGGGTGATGATGAACGGATGGATGACACAGAAACAAGACGAGACAATGGGCGAGCTCGGAGCTTTGGGACGGGCATGTGGGCAGCGACGTTCGAGGTCGCGATGGCCCGATGTGATGGGTGCTCGTTGTGGGGTTGAACATAGCGTCCTGATAATCGATCCTCCGCAGCCAATGGGACAGTCTCTCAGCATGCTTATCGGGTCGAATGCCACCTTTCTGCTAACCGTATTCGGTTGTTGGGTGGGCCCCTCGCACGATTCAGCTCTCACCTCGGAAGGCACGTACCACCTCCCCTCCCTTCTTGCCAGTATCTAGCTGCCTCGAGATGGAGGCAGCTGCCTTGAGGTAGAAGGGGCTTCACCATCTCGACAGCTTCAACGTCTTCAACGTCCTGACAAGGCTCTGTACCCATCACTTGCCAACATGGCATGCTCAGACTCACCTCAATACTTGGCTATAGTCTACCGAGTGTATCGATTTACCTTGGAGAAGAGCGTCGAGCGTCAACATGCCTGCGAGCAGCTGGTCGATGACCTTGATCCTCCTGCCGGCTTCGACACCCAATGCGAGCTCGCTGGCTTCGTGAACCCAGCGTTCCATCCCCGTGAGGATGACGCCGCCCATACTAACGACCTCGATGTTATCCTCGCCTTCTTTTGTCGTCAAGAGTCGGCACGTGGCACCCATAATCTTCTCTCGAGCGCCGGCTTCCGATCCTGGTTGAAGGTCCATCAGGCCGACTCCCGAGGCTGCAACACCTCCGAACTTGGCAAGCACCTCCTCGTCGCGTTGCAGCAAGTGCCTGACGCCTTCGGATAGCAGCTCTTCGTACGCCACACCCGTCGTCACAATGCCGAACCTCGTGCTCGGGCCCACGAGCTGCAGGGCTGCCAGTATGCTCGCGTCAAAGATGCCCACGACGGGCTTGCTGCCAACGTATGACTGCAGCAGGCGGACGACGGGGTGGTCAGCGTAGCACGCTCCCAGGAACCCGTCAAAGTCGTCTGCCATGGCGCGGAGCAGAGGTATGCAGTGTGATGCGCTTTCGTACATGTCGGCTTGTGTTTTGATGAGGGATGGGCCCGTCGGACACGTCCAGTATGTGAGCGTCGTGTCAGGCAAGCTGAGGCTTGCGAGAACCGGTTCGAAGCTTTTGGTAAGGGAGGCGCTCGTGTTGGGGTTGATGACCAGCACCCGGGCTGGTCTGCGCGTCTTGCAGACCATGTCGAGGTCGCGTCTCTGCTGGATTACAGGACTCGCTGTCGTTCTGACAATGAGCAAGCTGATAGCAATGGTTCGAGTGCGATTTGTGAGTCCGCTGAGCAACGTCAATCGACACTGCCGAATGGCAGATACTTAAGACGGCCCAAGGCTTATCGGTAGCAACACCGACACCTGACGGTCAATCAGTTTGCGCGTGGCTCAGGGCCCGTGCCGCCGCTCCTCAAGCCCGTGTCCGATCCACAAACGCCCGCGGGCCTGCCCGCGCGGGCTGCACAGTCGGGGTCGCGGCGAGTCGACACGCGCGCCGCGAGTCTCTAGGGCACGCCTGGATCCCCGCGCTAAATCATGCCCGCCCCAAGATAAGCTCGGTCCGGGGAAAGCCATCCAAGCTGCGACATCGCCGGCCTCGTAACGGGAACCCCAATAGGCGCTGATAAGGCGGGTGCTCAGGACACTTGGAGTCGACCCAGCTTCAACATGCAGAAAACATAAATCAAAGTCGTCGCCGGCGTTTGTTTTTGCCGCCTGGAGTCTCATCAGTCTACATTACAACATCTTCACTTGGACTAACAGGAAATCAGCTTTCAGCGAGTCCGTCTCAATTGCCACCCTTCCGCGACATCGCAGCCGACGCAGATATGGGCGAGCTACGGTCTACCACTGTCGTAGCCGACGAAAAGGCCAGCAACCTCGATGCGTCTTCAATCGACTCTGGCGCCGTCGCCAACCCTCAGGTCGTCGAGACGATATTCATCGATCCTGACGAAGAAAAGGCCGTTCTTCGCAAATTTGACAAATGGGTTCTGCCCCAGGCTTTTGTCTTCATTCTCCTCAACTACCTGGACAGATCCAACCTCGGCAACGCTCGCGTCTTTGGCTTTGAAGAGGACATTGGCCTTGTCGACAACCAGTTTGGCAACCTCGTCACCCTCTTCTTCGTCCCCTACATCATCACCGAGGTGTTTTGGGTCACAGCTGTCAAGCGTTTCGGCCCCAACTATGTCATCACTGTCGCCTTGTTTGGGTGGTGCATCGCCACTATTGCCACGGGCTTCGTGCAGAACTACGGCCAGGCCCTCGCGTGCCGCATGCTCCTTGGGCTGTTTGAAGCCGGCGTAGCCCCTGCTTTCACCTTCATCTTCTCCACCATCTACGACCGCGAATCTACGGCCAAGCGCGTTGCGCTCATCAACCTGGCTAATGCCACGTCGGGTGCCTTTGGGGGCATGTTTGCGTATGCCATCCAGACCATGGGCACCCGCCGTGGCCTCGAAGCATGGCGCTGGCTCTTCATCATCGAGGGTTCCATCTCCCTCGCCATCTGCGGCGGCTGTCTCTGGTCCTTCCCCAACAAGCCCGAGACGGCCTGGTTCCTGAATGAAGACGAAAAGGCCCTCATGTGCCGTCGCAAGCAGCGCGATGCCATTTACAAGGGCGACGACAAATTTGACTGGAAGTGGGTGCGCCTCGCCGTGTCGGACCCCTTTATCTACGTTGCTTCCATGGCGTTTTTCACCTCGAGCGTCGCCATTTTCGGGTACGGCACCTTCCTGCCGACTCTCATTCGCGGCTTTGGCTACAACGCCTTCGAGGCCAACTACCTGACCATTCCCGTGTACGCCCTCGGCGCCATTTCTCTCGCCACGCAGGCCTACTGGTCCGACCGTCTCAAGAAGCGTGCGCTGTTCCTTCTCGTCTCCGCCTGTCCAGTTATTGCCGCCTACCTTATCTGCATCGGCACGCCGAACCGCGTGGCCGGTTACGTGGCCATGTTCATCCTGGTCACGGGCGTCTACTCCTTCTCGTGTCTCATGATGACCTGGGTCGCGACCAACCTCGTGCCGGACTACAAGCGATCCGTCGGTCTGCCCATCTTCGCGAGCATTGGCAACTGCAGCGGTCTCGTCGCCGGGCAGCTGTACCCCAAGTCGCAGTCGCCGCGGTACGTCGTGGGCAACTCGATCTCCGCGGGACTCGAGGCCGTGGCGGCCATCTTTGTCGCCCTAACCTGGCTGCTTCTGAGGCGTCGTAACCAGCAAAAGGACAAGTTGATTGCCGAGGGTGCGACGAGCAACGGAATGGAGGGCGACAGGGGGCTGGACTTCAAGTACGACCTGTGATCGGGCGGTCCTCCTATACGATTCACGATGGAGTTTGGCAGCGAGCGTAGAGTTGTTTGTATTCTTGTCATTAAATGTTTTGCTGTAGCCATGGATTGCCTCTTGCTGTAGCAATAGAATGAATGCCCATTTGCCCTTCACCCCTTCCAACCCATCTGTGAACGCTTCACCATGGTGCTCCGACTACAACGCATCGATATCCAACTCGGGCTCCCGCCTGCGCATCAACACCTTGGCATTCATGTCCACGGCCAACGAGAAGCCGAACTCAGCCGCCTTGGGTTCGCAGCCCGGGGCCAATCTCCACTCATATTTCATCACCAGGTGGCACAGCGCGACCTTGACCTCGTTGGCGGCGAAGAACCGCCCCGGGCACGCGTGCTGTCCGTGGCCGAAGCCCAGCGACGCCGGGCCCGTGCTGACAAAGTGCGCCTGGTTCTCCTGGCCCGGCGTATCGCGCATGCGGACGAAGCGATAGGCGTCAAAGGTATCGGGGTCGTCGTAGACGTTCGGGTCGCGCATCTGCGCCATGTCGACGGCGGTGCGCTGGCCTTTGCGGAGGACCATGCCGTTCGAGAGGGGCACGTCACGCGTGGCTGTGCGCATCATGGAGACTGGGCAAAAAAGTCGTCATCGTCAGTCCTTTCTGGCGCAACAAAGACTACTCCCGGAGTAGAGGGGTGCCCATACCTAGTCCAACGGGGCGCATGCGCTGCGACTCCTTGACGACGCTGTCGAGGAGCTTGAGGTTGTAGAGCGCCGTCTTCTTCCAGCCCTCTGCCGTGAGGACACTGACAATCTCTTGCCGCAAGTCGGTGACGATTTCCGGGTGCTTGGCAATGTTGAACATGACCTCGGTCAGCAGGTCCGTCGTCGTGTGGATGGCCGCGGTGGAGAGGGACAGCTGGCAGATGGCGGCGTCGTACGCGCTGCCGTGGCTCTCGGCCTCGAACCAGTCGAGGGCGTCGTTAAACACCGGCGGCGGCAGACCCCGGTCGACGGCCTGCTGGCGGTCGTCCCGCCGCTTCTGGACCACGGGCCCGATGATGGCGCGGGCCTCGACGAGCTGCCGCCGCACCAGCCTGCACTCCGGCAGGAACTGGTTGGCGAGGCGGCGCCACCAGGGCGAGTAGTTGCGGAGCTGCTCTGCGGCGAGGAAGCCGTGGATGGTGTACGATTTGGTAATGGAGAGCCAGTCTTCGTTGCGGGCGACGTCGGGGCCGAGAAAGACGCGCGAAGACAGACGGGCTACGAGGTCGAGAATCTCTGTTTTCAGAACAAACTCTTTCCATTCTGATGCCTGTCAGTCTTGGTTCTCAGCTTACTCGCGCGGGCCGCACGGCATACCTGCTGACTTGCCAAAGGCCAACTCTGTGGCAAAGCTCGTCTCTTCAGAGAGTGGTTCTGTCACCTGGTCTGCCGTCCAGAGTCAGTGATTGTAAAGCTTCGGGCAGGTGACGCAGACGGACTGACTGAGAAGCTTGGTTAGCTGCTTTCTCACCACTACCTGGATGAGCGAGTCGGCCCTGTTGCCCGTCGCAAAGGGTTCGAATCCGGGCAGGTGAGTATGGAAGGTTTCCGAAATGGCCTCGATGAAGCTCAAGCCAGGCTCGTTTCGAATGTCATTGATGAGCGAGGGCGGGAGAATGGTCGTCTCGCCCGAGTCGGACGTGATCCTGAAAGGCTGGCCTGGGAATCGTTTCCGACCCTCGGCCAACATCCCTCGGGCGTTCTTTATGAAGCTTTTTGAAGCAACGGGATCTTTGCCGAAGATCAGAGGTCTTTTGGAGGGGCTCAAGCACGGAATGCTTTCTTCTTTGCTCCCAAGTGCCCTGACACAGGAGGCCAAGGCGACAAAGAGTGCAAGGCCGAGATAGAGCAACTGCTGGGCGTCCAGATGAGCCATCCGGGTCGATTCAGCCCATGATCCCAGCAGTGGAGGCTGTGTTGGCGCCGAAGATGAGGACTCCATCGTGTTTGTTGATGGTGTGGAGGTTTGTGGTTGTTGATCGCAGAGCTTCTCTTGAAGCTGGTTCCTTTGGAGGGTGAATGGAGAATTTGAGGCATCACCTCGTGTTTATCACTGAGACACTTATAGCAGCTAGTCACGCAAGACCAGGTCACCAAAGGTCTGACCGTTGTGAGCCCCTCACACACACCATGCGCTCGACGTCATGTCAAACGGGAGCCACAAGAAGTCGGATGAATGAACGCCCCGTTGCATCTCGCTCGGCGTTCAAGAGGATCCCGTGAGGAACGATGTTCTGCATATCGGACCAGGCCCATGTGCCAAGCAGACTGGCGCTCGACAGCTGCATGTTCCAACGACAACGTCCCGCCGAAGCGAAGAAACGTTCGACCACTCGATACTAGTCTATATCCAAGCGTCTCCACGTCATGACTCAAATTGCAGTGAGGGAGGGGCTTTGGTCAATTTCCCCGCCGCCTGCAGCCCGCGTTGGCCTGCTCGTCAACGGCTCGGATCGGCGCCGGGCCAGGCAGATGCCGGCGCCGCGGCGAATGGGAACGCTGCATCTACCCGCACGGAGCGCATGTACCGGCAGATGATCGAGGATCGTTGCCAGTACGGCCCCTGGGGGTGTACGCGGGGTGAAGAAGTGCCCCGACTGCCGCCCAAAACTTCGCACAGCAATGTCCCACTTGGGGTCGTGGTGAGACAATCGTATTCGTACTCGTCATGTGAAGAGTGAGGGGCGAGGAAGGAGTGTAGCATGGCCTACTGCAGCTTGCGCGAGAGTTGTTCCGCCACACGACGGCTGCATATCAGTGGGTGTCGTGTCGGGAGGATAGCAGTCACAGGCCAGTACTTCCACCAATATTCTGTGTGCACAAGTCGTGGACACAAGCCGTTTTCCGGGTTTATTAACGTGATTCTGGTCGTGATCAGGCTAGATGCCGGACAGGAAGTGATAGGGGTTGGACCCTGAACCTCTTGACAACTGACATCAAAACCCTGGTTTTTGGTCGAGAATATCACATAACGAATCACAACTAGAATGCTTGAATGTAATAGTTTCATGGATTGATATTGGTACAAAACAAAGGCCCTGCCATGACAGCACCTCTCCAGAACGCCAATGCCGTCATGTTCCATCGCTCATATGGATCTCGCTCGGCCGTCGAAAATGCGCTCATGTCGATTGGTGATATATTGATTCGTGTCGTGCGTGCGTGCGTGCATTCGTGCATTCGTGCATGTGGCGAGCCGCTCAGAAACGTCGGCGGCCCATGCCACCACCGCCCATGCGACGACCACCGCCCATGCCGCCGAGCATGCCGCCGCCGCCCATGCGACCTCCGCCCATGCGTCCACCGCCCATGCCGCCGCCGTGGTGGTGGTGGTGGGTCTCCTTGACGACGGGCCGAGCACCCAGGCGTCCGCCGCCCATGCCGCCGCCCATCATGCCGCCGCCGGTCCTGCGTCGAGAAGAGCCTCCGAAGCACATGTTGAGGTAGACTGCGTTGGAAGTAGGTGTTGTTGGTTGTGCGGTAGTCAAGTCTAATATGTGACTTGAAAATGGGTAGTTTCTTGTGTAGATTTGGTAGTGATGAGGAGTGGTTGATTGTCACTCGGGTGTTGTCTTCGTTGTTTGGTTGTTGATGCTGATGATCTGGAGCCAGAAGCAACCGGGCGATGAAGGAGAGACAGGAGGGTTTATGTACTACATCACAAACGACATCAAACACGTCGAACCCGTAACAGTGACGCACATACAGAGAGAGTCCGCCTGCAAGCATCCGCGGTTGTGGCCAACAACGCCTCAGAGTGTTTCTCGATGGGCGCCTTTGCGAAGAAGGTTGCGCGGCCGTACTTGGCCGATGTCATGGGCGAGGACGCGCGTAGTACGGGGTCTGCCGAGAGGTTCAAGACCCTGAGCCCACGTCACGGCTGGTTGCTCCCCCCTCCATCCTGTTGTGGCTCGCACTGCAATTCACTGCAGAGCGCCGTGTGGCCACTAAACAGATCCGGCACCGCGAAGGTTCTGGGACCGGCTGCTTGGCTCCGAAGTGGAGGGTGGCCGTCGTCATGAGGTTGGCCTCACGGTCTTGCGGACCGGATGGGGGGGGGAGGGGGGGGGGACCCCTGAAATCCACCTCCCGGATCGTGGCTTGCCATGCGGCTCCTGGGTTGCGGTAGGGGCATGGTTCGCATGGACCCTGTGTGGTTGACCTTGCGTAGGAAGTCTGTTGGCTGGATTATCATTATCATGGAGGAGAGGGAGGAGCGAAAACAGGATTGTGGCTGGTGGCGATTTGATCGCTGACGTAGGTTGTGGCTGGGCCCACGACATAGTGGTCTGTGCAAAACAGTAAGAGAGTCTGGCTGAGGTCTAGACCATCTCTTATCGCAGTGCTCTCTGGAAGTCAATATCTCTCCCCAACATCGACGTCATTGGTCCCTTGGCCCAAGGGCCCTGAAGACCGGCCGTCATCTTGTCTCGAGTTAATTTATGCTGGGCAAGCTTACCACCAGGACACGAAGCAACAGCCGCGCCAGGCACGAGAGGCTTAAGACGTTCAAGCGACCCTCTGGTCCCTGTGGAAGCTCTGGAACACGCGCCAAGTGTTTCCTCACCTTCTGATCTAAGCCTCAGCACGCCCCAAGCTTCAAGCCACACAGCTTCTCACGTGATATCCTCGCATCAGCTTCCCTCGCACGACCGAGCAGCATGCCCCGAGCCGAGCTGCGTCTCGGACTTACCTCGACTCGGCACTCACCCTCCCCGCATGCTCCACGCAACCCGCATCTCCGGACTCGTGCGCACCCAATCACGACGGCTTCAACTCCATCCCTCACTATCGCAAGCACAGCCCGTGCGGCCGCCGTCTCCCTCGTCGAGGCTTCGGCTGCATCTCCGCGAAAGCCCGAAGCCTTCGCAGAGCTTTTCTCGCACCCGATGGTAACGAGCAGGCAGTGGAGTTCTCGGCCGTCGTCCGCGGTGCACTGAAGCGAATGGCACCAGAGCGATACCTCAACAAAAAAAAAAAAAAAAAAAAAGACAGTAAGCCACGACTGCAATGAAATAACGAACAAATGGAATTTTGGCGGGCCTTCGAGGACCCGTCTGGACCCACGCCGCGGGTTTCGCTCCCTAGATATCATCGTGATGTACATTTATGCACCGACTGCCGCCCTATCCTCCCCGTCTTCCCCCCCCCCCCACCCATATCCGAAGCTGCCCGTAGCCCAGGTAGCAGTGAAAGCACAGCGCCGTGTGCTGGCCAGAAACGCCTTGCAATGAATGCCGCCCGTAAAGAAACTCCTCATGGTATCAACGCTGCTGATGTCTCCCTCCCCCCCCCCCACATTCGTCGTGCTCTCTCCGTTTCTCGCTCGTGGTCAAGGTCTTTTCATGACCGGTTCTGGGCCTCGTACAGGGCGACTGCCCGTTCAAGGCTCTCGAGGCTGGTGCCGTCGCCGTAGGCGTCCATTAATTTCGATGCCCGGAGGCGGCTCTCTGCCTGTTGTCTCTCCATCTCGGCGAGCCGGGCGGACCGGCGTTGGCTCATGCCCATGGCGTAGCTGCTGGCGGCGTAGCCGACGGCGATGACGGCGATCGTCGACGGAATCCTGCAATTTGTTAGCTGCTGCTGGTTTCGTTGCGGATGGCATACGCTGGACTCACCATCGAGGCACCATGCTTGTTCGGCGCGTGTTGTGTAGGTAGGGAAGGATGTTGGGGTGGACACGAGCTTCAGTGGAGAACCCCCGGGATGCTGAGCGGCGCATAGTGTTCCTGAAGGCGTTCATGTTCGAGTGGTGGCTGTGACAAGCAGTTGCCGTTGTCGTTATCAATAGTGTTTGACAGTGTTCGTGAGATTCGGCTTGTAGTTACGAAAGTTGCTTTTCGATGAAGCTTTACGCCTCCATCGAGCCTCGTGCCAGCTGTCCGCGAAGGGGACAGGCAACCTCTTAAGGAAAGGGACATGCCCAACAACGCCCCCTTCCCCCCCTCGAATGATGCGCACACGACGGGCACAGCCGCCGCCGGCAACGTCTCGGTTATGGTCAGGATCACCGTCCCATGGCACCACGGTGCGAGGTTCCACCAATAAGCCGACGCGCTCGGTCTCCTGCTGCGTGTGGGGCGTCTGGAGTGTCTGGAGGTGTCTGGAGCTCGTGGGGTGATATTGGCCCCGGTTCGTTCGGTGTCCTTTGGCGCAGCACCACCAGCGCATGCCCCGCACGACCCTGTCCTGCTTTTTTGTGCTGCCTGCGTTGGAGCGTGGTGCCATGGGGGCCACCGGCGTGGCGCCATAAAGAGACGCGGTGCCCCGAGGTGACGTCGAGGTCGGCAGCAGACTAGATTGAAATCGAACAACTGCGCCCTGGCCATGTCCCTCGTGCCCTCACGATGAACCCACAGCGATGCAACGACGACGTGGACGTACATGTAGGCCGTGAAGCGGCGAGAGAGGGGGTTCTGCGAGCTGGATCTTGGCATGGCGGCGTCTGCTGTCCATATTCGAGAAGGCCAGTTTCACTGATCGCCTGCCAGTGTATTTTGGGCATGTTTCGCTCGAGCGCCCACGTTGCGCGAAACACCCGCAAGCCGTACCCTGTCAGCAGCAGCACTTGCCACGATCCATGTTGAAGCTTGATCGTCTGGTGCCTGCTACCGCGACTTGGAATGCTTCATGACGGAGGATCGTCGAGTGCTGGGCCCCATTTTGAGCCGTGCCTTTCCCCACTACCTTCTCCACTTGCCGCTGAGACGACTGGCTTGTGATCCAGGTGGACTTGTGATCCAGGTGAACGTTGAGCTGCGATGCATGTACCAAGTCGACAGACCTTATGGGTTCGCTGTCCAGAGCATCAGAGCATCTGGCTGAGGGCAGAGATTCCGGAATATGGCAGAACATCCCGGCCTGACCTCGGCATGGGCTAAATGCCGACATGAGCTCTTGCTGGCTGACCAAAACGAAATCCTACAGGGCCCAACGCAGGCAGGACAGGTGCATGCAGGCACCTCGGCGGATCGAAGCCGAGCCTGTGCATGGTCATGGGGGTCCTGCTCGACAGGTGATGGGGCTGAGGTGGTGGGGAGTGAGGCCCACGATCGATTCGAAAACCACCTCAGTGGCTTTACGCTTAGTCAAGCGGTGGCGCTCAGCCGGTGCCCTTGTGCTCTGGTGAAGCTGTATCTGGACGTGCTGTTGAGAGCCCTATGGGTCAATCTGCAATAGAACGTAGCCTTGTCTTCCATGAGATTTAGATTCTTTTTTAAGTTTTTTGCTTTTTCCTCTCGACTCTGGATATATGCAGCTAGTCGAGAATCAGCCTCGCACCTACATTCACCGTGGCACGAAGCAGCAGATGATTCATATTGAATCGCACAGTGACCAGACAAAGTTTGGAGCATTCACATTGATGTGCTTTTGACATTGATCACCAGCCAGCAAACCTTGTCAGCTAAACGCGTTGTGGATTATGGTCATACGCAGTGACAAACCCTTCTCTGCTTGCTTGTTTGGGCCATCACGGTCCATTCGGTATCTGCTCCTGCCGTCTTAACCCGCACCATTTTTCGTCTTCCATGCCGTGCCGTTTTTGTTCCTCATGACCACTGGGATTGCCACACTACGGACATAACAATGCAGAATGCCCCTTTAGTATCGCATTTGGACCACAACACTACAGCCATGGACCGCCATACTTCCAAATTCAATACTCACGCGTCTCTTGAATACGAGAATGAGAACGAGGATAGCCTCTCTATTCTGTCGCTCGACGTCAATGAGAATGAAATAACTCTTATGTTCTCGCCCACCATGTTCCCTCTCCAGCAAATTTCCGACCAACGAAATACAGTTCGACGCGTTTCCAAGATCGATGTCGACGGCGAAAGCAGGGTCATATCGAACGCGTGCCGTCAAGAAAACGCACCACAAAATAGGACTGCATTCATCAATAGCGACACCCCCAAAAGGGGACAGATCATCCCAAGCGCCCCGTCAAGGGAATCACAGAGGAGGCGGCCGGCTTATACGTACCCGACAGCCGCGGAAGTTGAGGAACGCGTCCGTCGGCAACGCGAGATTGCCAGCTGGAAACCACCAAGTCATCTGATGCAGAGGTCTATCAATGAGAATACCTGCAGAGCTATATCGAGTGTCAGTTCAGCCCTCGGCATCGGCATACGTCGGGTTGCCATAGGCTCTGCCGCTGGTGCAAGTGCTTTATATCATCATGCTCGCCGGCGGATTTCGCCGACACAACACCATGAGCTTTCTCAGCCGGCCTGTACGAAACGCGTGAGGACTTTCGACGGCGGTAAGTCTCTTTTCACCCAGCCAGCTGTAGGCCTGCATCTCATTCGCATGTATACTGACGCAGCAGTCCATACAGAAGACGGCTGGGTCGAGGTCTCGGGCACTTAGGAAGATGCTCAGAGTGTGACTCCCTCACATGGTATGGCTGAGGATTCTCTCCTAATGGAGTACCCCGACGACCCTTTGGTTGAGTGGCTTGATGTCATTCACATGCTGACTGTGCGTCTTTTTGACATTTAAATGGCCAGCGTCCTGACGCCAGTCCCGGAATGAATATCGTACGAGGTGGTGGCCTCTGTGGTAGATCAGGGTCCTTATTGAGCAGCAACACTGGGTGGAATGGGGTGCAAAGCTGCGAGACGACGATTGCCTGCCATATCTTTGAGCCTTTTTGTCGCATGGAATACCCTGTTAGCCAATACCTTTAGGTCCGTCATGTGGTATCTCTCCCGGATGCTTGAAAGACGCGTTAAGGCTCTCGTGACTATATTGAACGTAATTCTCACTCTGTAATGCCGTTTTTTGTGTCTTTGTTGGACCTTACCAGACTCAGGGCGAGCAATGCAGCTCTAAGCAAACTGCGCTATGAAAATATTCGATGCATACTCCCTCATGGACGGGGACAGAATGAACATCTGCGCAAACTGTGAATGCAGAAACTCACACTCTAGTGACTCTTTGCCGTGTAGCAGAGAACCGCGTTCCTTCCTTTAGTCTTGAAACTCAGGGCACTTGCCATTTTCGACTCCTTCTGTATTCGCCAATTACCCTTAGTCGCGTAAGACCCTTGAATCTCTGCAACAACCTGTTTCGCCTTTATCCAGATATCCTCAGCGTCATACCTGCATGGTCACCATGGCCAAGGTGCAAGAATCCCAGGACGGGATCACGCCTCGTCGACTATATCTAAGAAGGGCTATGACAGACATTTGCAGCGGCAAAGAAACGGTACGTTGAATGCTTTCCTGTTTCCGCTGGACGACGCACGCCACGACGCACGCCATGAAGGCATCATCGCTACCTGGGGCGCCTCATCGCCGCGGCGATACTCAAGTCTCCGCAGATTCCCATTACTGAAGCGCTGCCTACTTGGTTCACTCTATATCTCCTTCTTTTCTTCTTTCCAGTAACTCTCTGCTGTTCTTCTGCGCTATTCTTCAGCCAGGTTCCTTCCTGCACTAGTATCACCCTCAAGAAGCCTCGTTCAACAACTCGTACTCTCCTGACTTTAGCCTCTCGTGGCTCCTTCGTTTCTGCTTGTCTTGGTCTGAAGAATCTGCTGACGAAATGGAGAAGCCCCTGGCTCTCAACCCAGACGAGCGACGCGCCGTCATCGGCCTCGACTACTTCACCTGGCAGGAAAACATCCCCAAGGAGTTCCCCCGCAATGTTAACCTCGACAACTGCCCCGGAGACCCTGTTGAGTGTCTCTTCAATGGCCTCCCTCCTATCTTGATCGACGACTCTGGTGTTTCCTCCGTTGGCCGCGACAGCGATATGTCTGCCATGGAGTACGACCGCAGATTTGCTCATGCCGTTTGGCCGTTTGCCAACTCGGACCTCAGAAACCTCTTGCACACTTCTGATCCCATGATCCTGCCTCTTTGGCAGGTTGCCCGCTCTGCCTTTTCCGTCTACGAGCAGAACAACAACACCATTCGCAACGCCTTCATGCAGGGCCTGGCGCAGCTGCGCGACCAGACTCCTCAGGTTGGCAAAACCAACCAAGACGCTGCTGGCAACGCACCCATCAGCAACAAGGTTAAGTGGATCGCCTACTGTGCCTGGATCGCTGCCGGCCGTGCCGACCATGTCGCCCCGATCCCGGACCGTCGTTTTGCCAAGGACTCCATGGACATTGAACTGACCTCTCACCGCGGCGTTTGTGCCTTTTGCGGTGCCAAGCCTTTTGAAGAGCAGCCCGTCCGCGGGCCTGCCCCGCGCATCGTCAAGTGCAGCGGCTGCTACGTCGACGAGCTGCCCAACATAACCCAGCAGTATTGCGACTGTACCTGCTCCAAGAAGGACTGGAAGGACAACCACTACTATGCGTGCCGTCAGCGCTGTGGCTTTCTCCGGAGCGCCTTCCTCCTCCGCAACATGGCTGACATGTTCATGAAGGCCTCGTACAGCGGCATCTCCTCGGTGCACATTCGAGACTATCCCGATTTTGAGAGCACCGCCCTGAAGCCCGGCGGCCCCCTCGACAGCACCGGCCCGACTCGTATCAGCGCGCCCGACGCTTGTTGCGAGGAGGTCTGGACCGGCGGAAGTGTCTTTCCCCAGAAGTACCTCGACGCAATCGACGAAAGCCCTGCCTGGGCTGCCCGCCTTGCGCAGGATGCGGGCGATGACTACCTCAGACATCTCCACGGCATCATCATTGACACTCTCCACGGTACGCTGTTCATCCTCCGTATCCGAGTCGACTCCAGGCTAACCCACGCAGCGCACTGCTCCCAGGTCGTCGAGATGTACGTCTACGCCCGCAACGCCGGCACCGTGCTCCACCTTGGAACCGACTACCACAAGGAGAACGGCAACATCCAAGCCGCCAAGGGCAAGAACCCCATGTTCTGGCCTCACCCGGTCCTCTTCTGCAAGCTGAAGCCCACGGGCTACAACGACAAGGGCAAAGAGTGGATCATCGACCTCCACTGCGCCAAGTATGGCTGGAAGGAGTACGTCCTCCCCTTTGACGCCTACTTCCGGACCCGCGTCGCCTCGAGCTTCATCGCCCGAGCCTTCAAGGAGGCGCCCGAGCACTGGTGCCCCTGGGAGGAGAAGGGCCGCCGCCGCGCCCGCTACAACCTCGGCCACTACATCCACAACGCCATTATCAAGTTCATGAACGACACGGCCAAGCTCAAGGTCCCCTTTGAGATGACCCGCGTCAAAGACGTCAGCGAGTGGAAGAACCTCAGCAAGGCCTTCCTCGACGTCTTTGAAAGGGCTGCCTTGGAGGGCGCCCAGAAGATCCGTCAGTCGGCCACCCATCGTCAGTTTCTCTACTACCAGCACAACAGCTACGGCCCCGAGTACGGCGTCGGCGTCACCAACAACAAGGTCGAGGTCTCGTTTTTCAACCCCATCTGGCTCACTCCCGAGCAGTGGGCCGAAGACTTTTCCGAGCTCGAGACGATTCTTTTTGCCGACCAGTCCCCCGGCGCCCTCACCCGCTACGGCGTCTGCCGCTGGATCAAGCGTGTCAAGGCCCGTGCCGAGCATCACGACAAGATGTGCCTCGCCAAGCCTGACGTCAAGCCGTTTGATTACGAGGACCTCATCGGCAACATGACAAAGTACTTTGACATTGGCGAGGGCATGACCCTCGAGCATACCCGTGCCATTGTCGAGACGCACCTCATCAGAGACGGCACCGTGCCCGAGGCCGATTTGAGGAAGATTGTCGATGAAGAGATCAGAAAAGGGGCTCTCCACAACAGCGACGCCGCAGACATGCTTCGAGCCCGCCCTAGCGCCAAGACGACCGGTTCCACCAGAAAGACTCGTTCTGCCAAAATTCAGGCTGCTGGAGACGCCAAGGAGGACAGCCATGATGGAGAGAGCATCGATAGTGCTAAGGCGGACCGACGGGCCAAGAAGAACAAGAAGAAGAGAGAAAAGAAGAAGGCAAAGAAAGCCGCTGCCAAAGATGAGACAGCGGCCAACGAGTAAAAAATAGTTTGCTTCTGTAGTAGTAACTTGACCTCTTCTTGACCTTGATCACTTGGCTGTGGCAAGGCACGTAGCATAGCAGAAGGATTGCAACGCGGTTGTCGTGTATTTACGGCTCACATCGTGCGCCGTCACAAAGAAACGACTTGTGATCATAATGTCAATTAGGGACCTAGTGTCCTCGAACGCTACTGTACACTCGCCGCTGATTATCCGTAAAGCAGAAAAGGAGGCACCGACGTGGGCTACACCACCTTATGCCACATCCCCTACCTCGTGCCGAAGCAGAACGAAAACCCTGAATCATTCATGTCAAGAAACCATTTTGCAACGCGGGGTGTAATCGAAAGAGCAAACGGAAAGCCAATTTTGATCATTCTTCGTGAATCCATGAAGTTGAGAGGGGCACACATCTGGACCGCCAAGTTCGTGTGTCGCCACGAAGTGCTGGTCGCACGATGAGTTGACCTGCTTACAGCTCGGCCTTGGCCTTCTTCTCAGCCTCGAAGGCCTTCTTCTCGGCGGCATCGGCGCCGATGCCGACCTGGTGAGCGAACCAGGCAAAGGTGTCGCGGACAGAGTCTCCAATCTTAGCGAAGATGGTCTCCGAAGGCGACGAGGTGCCGTGCTTGAAGTAGTTGTAGTTCTTGCGGGCGGCGGCACGAAGCTCATCAAGAGTCGAGGTCTGAGGAACGGGGATGCCATAGCTGTCGAGGTAGCTCTTGAGCTCGCTCTCGCTCCAGGTGTCAAAGACGGTGCCCTTGGCAGAGCCGGTAGCTTGGGCGAAGTAGCTTGTGACGGAGGCGTACGTATCGCCGCCGGCAGCAGAAGCAGAGGCGTAGCCAGACTGCGCAGCGCTGACGAGCTCGTCACGGGTTACGTCCTTCTTCTCGGTGAGTTTCTTGGAGGCAGCGTCACCGTTCTTGGCGAGGTACGACTTCAGGTTGTCAAGCGAGAAGTCGTCGTAGGTCCAGGCGCTCCAGCCAGTGGCAGCCTTGTGAGAGTTCTTGCGGACAAGAGCGCGGAGCTCATCAGTCTTGGAGCCCTGGGGAACGGGAATGCCGCGAGCGTCGAGGTAGCCCTTGAGACGGCTCTCGGACCAGAAGTTGACGGCCTCACCAAAAGCCTCCTGAGCAGCAGCTGAAGCCGAGTCGGTAGCCTGAGCGTACTGGTTGCCGGCGCTCGAAGTGGCGGCACCGTAGGCGCTGGCGGCCTTTCCAGAGATGTTGTCGTTGAGGAAGTCTGCACGGTTCTTGCGGACCAGGGCGCGAAGCTCGTTGACCTTGGAACCTTGGGGGACTGTCACTGTTAGCTACCCGATGATCATGACCCGATGCGGCAACACGTACCGCTGATGCCGTTCTTGTCGGCAAACTCCTTGAGCTGAGACTCGCTCCAGGCGTCAATAATCTGGTCAGTCAGAGTGGCGT